TTCCGTCTTTTAACCAAAAATCCATTTTCCAAATATTTACGATTATGCCACTGAGCTTCATTTGACCATATCTCTCTCGTTACAACTCCGATTCGAGCCCACTACGTGTCTACGGACTCATCTCACCGTGCTCTACGCAACGGTACAACCGGAATTCCCAAATTCCTTCCGGGTAAGAAAATAACTAAAATACCCCTATCCCACGGGTAATTTCACAATTCCACTTAAATTAATTAAACATGGGATAAATTTGGGGTCGGGGTGTTACAATATATATGTATGGCAAAGAGGTTTAAAGTGGTAAAGAGGGGAACTATTGACGGCAATGCACTTCTTCTAATCAAAGGGATCGATCCGAGGGTCATGTTCGCTTGCCATCGCCATTCCAGTGCAAAGGTATGTAGGGCACATTACCTGCCAAATCACACACACAGTGTTAAATATAGTTGACATATATCAGTCCTCAAAACACCTGAAGCAGCTAGTCCTCGATATGTATGTATGATGAGCCAAATAAACTTATGTGGCAACAGGAAAAGGATTTTAAGTAGCAATAAACAGGACAATTTAAATCTCTATTACTCAATTGAATACTGTGTTTACATATTACATGGAATGGTTTAAAAGTTAAAACCAAACATATGAAACTGAAAGTGTGTATAATTCATTCCGGAACTTCCACGAACGGTAGCACATTTCGTAGCGAATATAAAACTTGATAGGCCTACTTTCTAGCTGAAGATGCACCCTAGATTTAGCTATATTCAGATAGTACAAACAAAGTAGTTGACATGCAAACAATGGTAATGTATGTTGAGACATGTCAGTGTTGATCTAAATACCTCTGGAGTCGAGAGAAGTTGCAACAATGTTCCTAGCAGAGCCAAATTGTCTGGCTAAGCAAAGTGCAAAAGAGAAGTCTCCTTCTCCCACTAATGCTTAATCTTCATTTCTTTAATTCTTAAACTTCAAATAAACTAAAACAAAGCATGATGTGGAGAAGATATTACATCTTAAAATCATCTAATCTTTAATTCTGTAATAAAAGATGGTTGAAAAAGTGTAGAAGAAGCTTTGTCCTGTCTCTTATACTTCAATCCCACATCGACGAGGTAAAAGAGTCTATAACACTTTATATACTTTTGTCCAAAACAAAGGGTCAACCAAATCCAAAAGAATTTGACTCAAAAAACTTCTCGAACTCTCTTGGATCTGGCTTTTTTCATTTGCTGTGTTTTTTTCCCTGCAACTTCTTTTTTGGAAATTCTAATACGACTACTCTTTTTAGAAAATAAAAATAAATAAACATTTTAGTGCTATCTGGAATTGTCGATTGATTTGCTCTAGTTTTTTTTTTTTTTTTTTTTTTTTTTTGTTCAAGAAAAGCATTGGCTGTAGTATTTATGGATGTAATTTTTAGCTGAAACCCTTCAAAACTTGCAACTCCTAAAGTAAGGATTGTAGTTCTTAAATGTTTTTCTTTCGCTAAATTTATAAAAATAAAAATAAAAAAATCGATCGGAACATGAGGTCAAGGCCCGAAAATAAATAGAAGAATAAAACACAGAAGGCAAAAGAACTTAAAACAACATTCATTAAAACTTGAGGTATACCTGTAGCTGTAGTATAAAATACAAAGTAAAATATGTCAAAGATGTATTATATGATTTACTTCATTCACATTCACACTAGATCCTCTCTCTCTCTCTCTCTCTCTCTCTCTGCAAATTCAAAATTTGAAAAGAATAAAAAATTTCGAACACTTTGCATCTTTTGGGGGGGGAGGGTGGGGTTGCGGGTGGGTTGGGCTCTAGGTTCTGAGGGGGTGGGAGCAGGAGGAGGGGGTCTTGTGGGTGGTCATGGGGAAAGAGAAGTTTTTGGATGTCCTGAGAAGGGTTGGCTGGGGTTCTGGGTTCGATGGGAAAGCAAAGAGAGACCGAGAGTTGGCTCCTGGGGTTCTGGGTTCGATAGGAGAGATAGAAAAAAAATATATATATATATATATATGTATGTAAAGAGTACAGACCGGCTGAAGCGTATAGCCGTGCGGCTATACTTTTTTAAATAAAAGAAATATATTTAAAGAGTATCGCTGCTCAGCTATACTCTTTAAATAAAAATATATATTTTAACAGTATCGCCGTTCGGCTATACCGTTTAAATAAAAATATATACCTATAGCCGGGCGGCTACACTATTTAGATATTCGAATATATTTAAACAGTATAATCGCGCGGCTATACCGTTGCAATAAAATAATATTTTTAAACCGTATACTTGCAGATGCCATGACTTTGAGAGCTTAGAGCCCTTAGAGCCTTTAGACCCTTGATTAATTGTATACTTGCAGTTTATATACCACCAGCACCAATGAATTTGTTGAAGAGTGGTTGTATCACAAACTGATGGTACCCCATCTCCATGCTGTCGACGTTGACGTCCCTTTCGAAATTTTGCGCAAGGATGAGCACAAGCTTGAACGGGTTGCTTTGGGTAGAGAATTCCATATAAGTCTGGGAAAATCTGTTCCAATCCGAGTGCACCAGGTTGACTCCCTGTTCACAATGCTTCGGCAGAAGCTTCAGATTCAGAGGCGGTATGAACATAATTCTATTGCGTGCATGATTTTTACTTCTTTTATTGAACATAATGCTGATTTGCGGTAAACCATTTCCCATTTTTTGGTTTCTAACACATTTTGTTATTGTAAAACAGGTGTTGGTATTGGAAGCAAGTGGGAGGTTTTTAGTTAACAATGATCACACCCGGACCTTTGTGTCGATAGAAGTTATTGCTGCTGGGTTAGCTGAGGTATGATTGCAAGCTCTCTCTTTATACAACTTACAAGTCATGTTGTTTTCAGTTTTTTATTTAGATGTAAAATTTTGTAACTAGCTAGCCAAAAACATGGGATTCTGAAACATTAATATCTTGCTTACTTGTTTTTTAGCTACATATGAAGATTTTTCAACTCCAACCATTTTAGATAACAAAGCAGATTCAAGCTGTTAATGAGGTGTATAAGCTTCACAATCTTCCTGAATTTTACAAGGTTAGCATTGGTTAATTGGAGCAAGTGATTTTGCATCAATTTTACTCTTACTCGGAAAAAAAGAATTCACAATATTGGATGTTGTTTATGGGATGGCAGTATCCAGGCCCTCATAACACGGAAAAACAGAGGCCTAAAGTCCATCATTATCAGGGAACCAATTGATTCAGTACGCACGCCTCACCTAACCTCATCACTATTGACTTTTATTTAAATGGCAAAGTTGCACAAGTGAAGAAAACCTTTCAATTGCGTTCAGATGTCTAATCATATTCTTGAACAGTCAGTATATATACAGAAGTCCCTTCCCTTGGTTATGTCACTATTCAGGGGAGGATATATGTATGGCAAAGAGGTTTCAAGTGGTAAAGGGGGGAACTATTGACGGCAATGCACTTCTTCTAATCAAAGGGATCGATCCGAGGGTCATGCTTGCTTGCCATCGCCATTCCAGTGCAAAGGCATGTAGGGCACATTACCTGCCAAATCACACAGAGTGTTAAATATAGTAGACATATATCAGTCCTCAAACACCTGAAGCAGCTAGTCTTCGATATGTATGTATGATGAGCCAAATACACTTATGTGGCGACAGGAAAAGGATTTTAAGTAGGCAATACACATGACATTTTAAATCTCTATTACTCAATTGATTTCATATTACTCAATTGAATACTGCGTTTACATATTACATGGAATGGTTTAAAAGTTAAAACCAAATATATGAAACTGAAAGTGTGTACAATTCATTCCAGAACTTCCACGAACGTTGGCACATTTCATAGCGAATATAAAACTTGATAGGCATACTTTCTAGCTGAAGATGCACCCTAGATTTAGCTATATTCAGATAGTCCAAACAAAGTAGTTGACTTGCAAACAATGGTAATGAATGTCACTTGCTTAACAGAAACATAAGCTCATTCTCATTTGACGTATTGGCCCTGAAAAAGATTTAGGCTCATGCAAGTCGCTTGCTCATTGTAGTATTAAAAATCACAAAAAATTTAAATCAAAGAAAACAAAGTTCATATGCAGGGGCTTACCGTTGCATGCGAGGACCATTAATTCCAGAATATCCAGACCATGGACCTGAAGTAGTAATGCCAAGGTGGAAACCAGAAGTGGTGGAATGGCACAACAGCTTGGCAAATTTGAAGGTGCTACACATTCCAACAGGAAACGTTTGATCACACATCCCAGCTCCTCTCTTATTTTCATAACCTGGATAATCCCATGGTGAGAACTGTTCTTCATGAACCAGATATAACCCAACCTTTCGTGCTAACTCCACTATTTTCCATTCACTGTATGGAAATTTTGTCTTGTGTGTCACATGAATTTCTCCTATTGCGGTCAGCATTTCGCGTGCATTCTGGAGGAATCCCCTGATCAAATCCTGATGAAACCTGAAAATGCATGAATTTCATTTAGAATTCAAAATCCTCTGTTTACATTTTTTTTTGGTAGTGTTCTGGTTAAGCTCAAAACTACATTGTTTCAGTTCTTCAATAAGGAACACATTATGAACGCAAAATACCATAGAGCATATACCATGATCTTTAAAGGGGATGCATATATGGATTTGTTTTAACTTACCAAATTTGGAACCTGTTGTGTTCAGAAGAAAAGGGACCATGCAAGTAACCGGCGTGAGGAAAATTATAGATTATGCGATCAAAGCGTATGCTAATTAACAAAGGGTGTCGGCTCATGCTGTGGACATCCACCTCATGCAATATTATGCATCCCTTGGCCTCTAATTCCTCCACATTGCTCATAGCTTCTGAATACTTCAGCATCAAAGACTCTACAATTAGAATGCAAAGGATTCAATAAGGAACCCTCTATTTTTTTTTTTTTAATAAAATAAAAGATTGCATCTTTGGGCCCTTTTATCTATTACTTAACCATTAATGACCCTACAATTAGGATGCAAAGGATTTCAATCAGAATTCAGAAACCCTCTATCTATCTTTTCACCATCAAAGACTCTACAATCAGCATGCAAACTATTTCAATCAGGAACTTTCTAGGCTTTTCTATTTGAAAGACAACATCTTTGGTCCCCTCTATCTATTATTTCCTTTGGGTCATTACCAAAATGTGAAGTTTAAAACCAAATACAAAACCAGTTGGTTGTTTTTATTAAAATTTCAAACGGGGTTGCTTGAAAACCAAGGAATTGGGCATAAATAATGAGTAAAAGTGGACGTACTTGGACGTTGACACAAGTCAATGGTGATTCAAAAGTTACCTCTGGAGTCGAGAGAAGTCGCAACCATGTTGATAGCCAATCCAAAAGCTCTGGCTAAGCAAACAGCAAAAGAGAAGTCTCCTTCTCCCACTAAGAGTATCTTCTGATCGCTGCTGTAATGCTTAATCTTTCTCTTAAAGCTAAACACTTCCATTGTGATTTGGTTCTCTCTTCTTCTTCAACTTTCTCAGAATTCCTTGACTTGCTATTATTTTTCTCTTTTGGGACTTCAAACAGTACGAACTTCAAGGAAATTCTTAATTGCAACTCCTAAAGTAAGATTGTAGTTCTTAAATGTTTTTCTTTCCCACTGCAATTGAGTGGGGATGTCAAAAAGATTCAACTTGAGGTAAACCCACCCTAAATTTATAAAAATAAAAATAAAAAACTCGATCGGAACATGAGGTCATGGGGAAAGAGAAGTATTTGGGGTCTTGAGAAGGTTGGCTGGGGTTCTGGGTTCGATGGGAAAGCAAAGAGAGACCCAGAGTTGGCTAGGGTTATGGGTTCGATAGGAGAGAGAAAAAAAAAATATATATATATATATATATTTAACGCGTACAGCCGAACGGCTATACTCTTTAAATAAAAATATATATTCAAGGAGTATAGCCGACCGGCTATACCCCTTTAAATAAAAGAAATATATTTTAGGCGTATAGCCGCGCAGCTATACTAGTTAGATAAAATATATATATTTAAAGTGTACAGCCGTGCGGCTATAACTTTTTTAATACGTCCGCTCGGCTATACTCGTTAAATAAAAAAATATAGTTAAACCGTATATCCGTGCGGCTATACTATTTAAATATTCGAATATATTTAAACAGTATAGCCGGACGGCTATACCCTTGCAATGAAAAAATATATTTAATCCGTATAGCCGCACGTCTATACACCTGCAATAAAAAAAAATATTTAACAAGTACTGGATATACTTTTTAAATAAAAATATATATATATTTAAAAAGTATAGCCGTCCGGCGATACTATTTTAAAAAATATATATATATATATATATTTAAGAGTATAGCCGCATGGATATACTATTTTTAATATATATATATATATATATATATTTCTACCGCCACATCCAGAGCTCAAAAGCTCCGAAGAATCGAGCTCTCCTCTGCCCCCACTTCCTCTGTCACTGCTCAACAGCCCCAATTCCGTTGGTAACTACTAATTGCAATCAATTTTCTATATTTTTGCCTTCTTTTGGTATGGTTTTGAAAAGAGGAAACTGGAAGCAGTAGAAGGGTACAACTGCTTGGAAAATTTGAAGGTGCTGCACTTTCCAACAGGAAAAGTCTGGTCACATATCCCAGCGCCTCTCTTATTCTGATAACCTGGATAATCCCATACTGAGAAAATCTCTTTATTGACTACAGAGAGCCCAACCTCTTGTACCAACTTCACTATGTTCCATTCACTGAAAGGAAAAGCTGTCTTGTGTGTCACATGAACTTCTCCTGTTCAGGTCAGCACTTCTCGAGCACTCTTGAAGTATGTCTTTACCAAATTTTGCTTGTCCCACGTCGACAAGCTGACACTTTATATCTCTCCGTTCAACACAATGATTCGGCCAAGTTCACTAGAATCTGAATCACAAAAACTCTCAAACTCTCCCGGTCCTGGCCATTTTTGTTTGCTGTACATCGGGATGTTTTTTTGGAAACTCTAATACGACTGACTCATTTTAAAATAAATAAACATTAAAACAACAGACATTTTACTGCTGTCTAGAATTGTCGATTGATTTAGTTAGTTAGTTTTTTTTTTTTTTTTTTTTACCGGCAAAGAAGAACATTTGCTCTAGTATTTATGGAGGAACCCTTTAGTTGAATTGAAACCCTTCGGAACTCCTAAAGTAAGATGGTAGTTCTTACATGTTTTTCTTTCCAAATGTAATTGAGTGGGGATGTCAACTTGATGTAAACCGGAGCTAAATTTATAAAAATAAAAATAAAAGCTACACGAGCTTAAAAATAAATAAAAGGCAAAAGAACTTTTAAAAAAAACATTCATTAAAACTGTCAGATGAAACAATGTTGAGATTCATGCTTTGCTGCTGAGACATAGGCCAGATATATGAACAAAACCATGTGCGTGAAAGATATTGACACATTGCAGCAACAGCACAAGGAGAAAAACCTAAAATGTAAAAACGAAAAGACAAAACAAAACAATAACACTAGAGTAATTCTACAACAATGTCACAGCTCTGACAGAATGGCAGGGATGTAATGAGACAACTCGGCAGTTAGAGATTGAAATCCATTCACAAGCTGTGTGTGGAACTCCTGATCTTCCTCACCAATCAATCTGAAGTGGACACGAATGGCACGCTTGCATACTGCCATAAATTCAAGGAGCGCGGCAATGAGTTGCTGCAGTTCCTGCGACCGCAACCTTGTTGCAGGCTCACCAGACAGGAATGCAGTGCACACACTCAGTACCCCGCTGTTAACCTGCAAATAGAAAGTAGAGAAATCTGATCAGTAATATATAGAGATATAATTTGAATGATGAAGTAAGCAACTGATACACTTGCTTCAGAAAAACACAGTTTGAGAGCAAACTTCAACCTGAACTGCAACACTGCCTTGAAGAATTCTCTGTAGGCTCTGGAGACGTGGGAGTTGATCCCCTTCGGAACTGCGAGGCTCTTCAAGTTCATTTCGTAAGGCAGCTGTCCGAGTTTCAATCATCCCAATGGCATTTTCTACTGGGGAAAACTCAAGCGATTCCGATTTTGTAACTAAAAGCCTATTCACAAGAGCTGGGAATGAACCTTCAGTCTGAAGAACAGTTCGCCTCTTCCACTGGTCTTCCAATCCACCTTGAGTCTTTCCATTTTTCGTAAATGGGGTATCAAACAAGAAACGATCAAAGACTCGTGCACGAACACTACCAGTGGAAAGAGAAAAGATTCTCTCCCTTCTGCTTCCCAAATCTTCATCTTCCATGACTGGATCAACAGCAGTTATCTGCAGGTAGCAGACACCAGGCTGCAATTCATCTGCCTTTACCTGCCTGGAATCCGGAATAATGTGTAACGTGTGATTGCCATCCATCCTAGACTCGTATATATGACTAAGTTTCTCCATTATGTCACCTAGCCTTACATCACGGGCCTCCCTGTATACATATTCCTTTCTATCTAACTTTCCAAATCGGTCACTGTAAAACCCAACCCTGTAGTATGTTGCATCAGTGAACGGAATTGGACTTGATTCCTGCTCAAGTATTGATTCATAGATATTAGTAAGCATCGTGTGACATTTACTCAGCTGTCCATATGCCCTCCTGCTTTTGTAAACTGGGATAACAAGTTCCAGAATGCTTGCACAGAAATGAAAGAGTTCAGCTTGAGAAAATAGCTTATTTGCGAGCTGTAGGTACTTCACAGCAGAGTCAACAGTAAGTTTTGATGCACCATATCCTTCTACCTCAGCTGCAGAAGTCTCAGAGCTGATCTCATTGCTGACCATTGGACAAATTTTACGTAGAGCAGTTATGTGATCTTTGCTCCAAACACCATCATTTCTCGCCACAAGGGCCTATAAAGAATAAAAATAGACTATTAGGTGAAAGTAAACTAGTGAGCAACTGTCTTAAAGTTATGGAGCCATTTTTTAATTCTCTACTATACATAGTAATCCACAAAAATCTTACAAAACTAATAGGAAACCAGATCTCAAGCACTGCAGAGAGAGAAGACTGGTATAATTATGCATCAAGCTATACACAGAAAGTAATTTCAATTTTACATCAGCTCCTCATAACTCAGAATAGCCAATATCTAGCAATTACTTTCAAGTTTTCAACATAACTGCTGCCACATTAGCCGGTGCGGGGTTTTGGCTACAATTAAGCCGGTCTAAGCCTCATTTTGATAAATTATTGACTTTTTCTACTTTCACATTCCAACCGACTAAAATATCTCAAATCTCAGATTAAAATTACCCATTAAAAATGAATTTAAAAAGTCAAAGAATTTGTCCAAATTGCACTAGTGCCAGAGCCTAAACACACTTAGTCCTTGACAATCTTTTGAACTACGACTTAAGAACAAAGTAGGTAAAAGAAGGTAACAGAAAGCAAGAAAATATGTCAAAATGGAGAGGGAAGAGAAAGAAAATTAGGTTGGTTAGTCACAACTCACAACCAACAAAGAAACATGTAGAGTTTGGAAGTTTGCAAGGTCAGTCACAACACAAATAGGAATGTGCTAACATTTGAGACACTTCAAAGGTCATGAATTTTGAGAACAGACAAATGTTTCATGCAAGATGGCATTGTGAAAAACCATAACACTGTTACCTGCATTACAATACCAGCCACAGCAACAGCACACTGAGCAGCTTCTGCCCAAGACTGCATTTCTTGATGTGCATCACATAAATGCAGTAACCACATTATGTGAAGATCTGGGACAGGGGCAAATGCCATAGCCAGTCTATAGAAGCTTTCTGCAGCTGCATATCTGTCCATAGTCATCAAAGAGCCCTGCAAACCAAATTGCAGCCAGTATTAAAATCTAACATTGAACTTCCAAATTACCAGCTACAAAAGGATAAAGGGTCAAGATCATTAATGTTACACAAAATATCCTATAACAAATAAAGCTACGCAGGCATTATCAAACTTACCAGGAGTGCATGTTCCAAGCTGGCATCAAGAGCAAGAAGAAGACTTTCGGAGAGATACTTCACTTCTGACCAGGACCATCTATTTTCTGTCATTCTTTCTGGAATGTCTAACAGAGCACTCTCAGGAAGTCCACACACTCTCAAAAGACTGGGGCTCTTAGAGGCATCTGCCACTTCCTCCAGTGATTGCCGAAGACGCCTTGCTTCACCACTCTCTTCTAGTGTTCCATCAGACTTCATCTGAGTCACTTGTACATCAGACATCAACTCTGACAATGTGATGATCAGCATGACCCTCAACCTTGCTGTCTGCATAAAGTAGTAGAAAGAACTCTGCCAAAGAGAGAAGGGGAATTATTTTTTAGTTGAAAATGAACTGGAGCACATAATGTCAATGTGTCAGAAGGAGCCTACCCTTATAAGCATCTGGAGCCCCATAACAGCCCTTTTTCTGATATTATCATTTCGAAACACAGCAAGTCGAAGAAGATGGAAAGTGACTTGCTTTAAAAAACGGTCATTTTCCCTTGCCATCAAATTTGCACCATGAAGATTGAAGACACTGTTGAAGACAGGAAGCAGTGATCTCCAGAAAGACAATGGTTGATTTCGAGAGAAGAAGCTCATGAATATAGCTGTGACGCAATCAAATTTTCCATAGTCAGTGGCAATGCTATGGGATGCTGCCATTGTGGAAAACTTCTCAGTTATTTCCAAAACCTGAAGACTGACAGAAGCACTCAAGTTTTCTTCCCAGAGCTCCTGAAAGGCGAAAGCTATTAACCACCTAATGGGGATCACGCTGCAATCAACAGACATAGAATATTTACAGAAGCCTTACCAATTTTTGTCTCAATATTGGATGCAAAGATTCTCTTAGTGCTTGAGCAGAAGCTCCAATTCTAGAGGATTGTGCCTGAGCCAGAGCTTCTCTTAAGGAATATGGCTGGCTAGGGGAACTCAACTGAGAATTTACTCTCTGCCATGAATACCCATTTTCAGGTGTACCCTGAGGCTGCATTAAAGAGATTCAAGATTCTTGAGGACATGTTTAAAGATATTGATTTCTATGTAACAAAACTGAATGATTTACCCCAAGATGAGACATGAAACTACTAATGGAAGCAAGATTATATCCACTGTGCACAAGATCGAATTCCTTATAAGCAGTGAATAAAAAAAACACGGGCCTCGTTGGTTTCTTAAGGAACTGAGATCAGAAAATTAACTCACTCTGACTTCTTGTCTAGATGCCTCAGACAGATAGTTGTTGATCGCAGGAGAGAGTCTGTCAGAATACTTGGGGGAAGCAGGGCCATCACCAACAGGACTGCGAGAACTAGATCCCATAAGCATGCCATCAGCAGGTTTTCTGTGCTGTAAAACACATTAAATACAACTAGTGTTACGGGAAACATTTGAGGTTGGAGTATGTTGTGTTCAATTAAGCAACTTGTACATTTCATAATCTCGTAAATATATCTTGACTATGAAAAGACCTAAAAGAGTTTAACTCCTTTCACTGAGGAAATTACACGGAAAAGTGAATGATTTTAAGAATGAGTCGCAGAATGAAAAATAATATGAGCTAAATCCTCAAAGAACTAAACAACTACAACAATTAATATGCACCATTCGCTCGAAAGGCCATTTACATCCAAAGCAGTCTTGAAACTTGATGGTCAAAATTATATGGTTACACATACCTCAGTGAGTTCTCTCACGTTGACTTAGATTTTACCAACTAAACAAGAACTAAAATGTAAGTGCCACATGAGATCACATTATCACTTTCAAAAAAGAATGAGCACATGAACATCCTCAAAATGAGAACAAAAGCATAGTATGCTAACAATATGAATAAAAGGTCATAGATAATCACTAATGTAACAAATAACCTAGAGGAGTAACTAATAAAAGGCAACCTCAAATAGAACAAGGCATTCCTCCATGAGTTTGAAAAATAATCTAGTTCTAGCAATGCTTTGCTGCCACGCCTTGACAAGTGATGCATCATCAAGGTTCCGGACAATTTGCAAAATAGCAACTAAAACTTCACGCTTTTCAACAGCATTGAGGTTGTAAAACACAGGCATTTCATCTAGAATCTGCATAGACCACAACACTAGTTAGGATTTCTTAGTTTATGACATTGACCAACTCATAATATTATAGATATTGCTAAGAACTGTCCTTATTTCAATACATGGGAATATGTTATATTTTTCAAGCTTACGCGGGTATGGGGAGTGAGAGAACCTGGAAATTTCTGGATCTACGAGAATACTAATGGATATTTTGACATCAATATTAGATAAACATTAATTAAAAAATGGTTGTAAAATGGTGAACTTCAAAAGATGATATAGCTACATTGAGTATATGATAAACTTGTACTATAATGTAGAAAAGCATCTTTACTTCATGGTATTTTAAGTGGTTAATGCAAAACTGAGATTCCCACTAGCAGGGTTAAACAATGAAAAGGAGCAAAATGAAAAGAAAAACCTTTTACACATTGCATTATGAAAATAACACTATGCACCTGTCCGATAAGTGGAAAATATAGCTGCGCAATATAAAGTTTATCTTCAGGCTTTTGGTATCGAGCATCAAACTCATGCTTGCACAAAAGGACTACTAAAATTCTAGCCGCCTACATGCAGAGACATGAAAGAGTTAGAACAGAAGCATAACATATAGTGCACATCTAATCAACAAAAAATTTTCAAGACTTGGCAAATTTATATATATCGTATCAAAATCTTGTATATGGTTTCATGCCTCCTGATAAAGGAAGGTGTAAATTAAGGATGGACGAGCATAAAAATGTATCCACCAACATAAGTAGAACAAAATAAAAAATGTCAGGGCAGATTATGGACTCCAAGCTTTTTGTTTCTTGTAAAAAAAACACTAAATAAATAAATAAATGCACAATTATCACTATAAACTCACCTTTGCCCGCAGAGATAAATCATCATGATCCCAAGTAAGAAATAGCTCTTGTATTAGAACAGACGAAAGGTAGTTCCTATGACATGAGCATTCACTTCATCAAGACACGCTAACACTCAAAAGCTTCTTATACACATGAGGTCTATGCAATAAAAGTAAACAAAATCTTGAAATTTTTTTTTTGATAAAATCCATCTTACTCACAAACTATTAGCATGCAAATAAATAATCATTGAGATCAAATGAATCTTTCTTTTCTTATTAGAAATAAACCTCCAAAAGAGAGGGTTCATTTTATTGAAGGCAACAAGCCTACCCATGTGTGAGGAGCTCAGTGTAATGTGCATAGCTTGCAAAGATTGCATTTAATATAAATAGTGAAGATGACAAAAAAAGTCATGAATTTGGTAAATGCGAGAGAGAAAGAAGAGAGAAGGGGAGGGGGGGGGGGGGGGGAGGGTAAAATACCATAGAAGACATACTTTTCTTTTTCAAAAGTTCATCCGCAGTGCCATGGTAAAAGTAAGAAGGTGAGGTTACCAAAAGTGAGACAGTTAATTGGTAAGTTACCTATCAGAAGGGTCTCTCCCAGGCATTTCCACAAAAAGGTCATGATCACATATAATTTGCAAAAATGTGAGCTTGCAATCATGCAGAACCAATTGACATACCCCAGAAAACTTGTCCAAGTACAAGGACACCTACAGCAGATGGAAGACACCATAAAGTGAACGGAAACTACAAAATGGCAACCAGAAAGCTGAAACATATGGATAAACCTAACGCTTACATTGGCCCTTTCAAACTCATCTTTATCATTAATATCATGCATGCATCTAGAGCAATACTTCCTTGTTCAATCAAAATTTCATGATGTTCTTCTTTCACTGTACATATATTCTCTCTGGACCCCCTTGCTCTAGTAGCACTAATGTAACCCAGAAAATAAATATATAAACATACACCCACACACACACACAAAGAAAGGAATAGAAAGATTTGATTCAAAATTTGAATAAAACAATAAAAGTATTAAGGCTCCTGCAACATGTGCACCTTTAGGACAGGAGCGTAGCTCAGCTCTACAAATTTGAGCAGAAGGCTTAAGAATTCATAGGGTTGTCTTTTTCTATAATTGTTGGCTACTCCATGGATTTTTTGTATCTTTTTTAGGTTCAAGCTAGTGGTTGCAGTTTTCTGTGCTTTTGTATTTTCTTTTTTTAATTAATAGCTCTTGTTTCATAAATATATATAAACAAGACAGATAAGCAGACAGCATACCAATTCAAAAACTTGGCGAGGTTCGATGATGGACAAGAGATCATAACAAAAGAAAGCCAAACTGCTGTTTAAACGCTTTGCCAAGCTTAATCCTTTCTTACAACGTTCATGCACTTCTGTTAGTAGGCAATCATACAACTGCATTATGCATCTGAATACACCTTCTTTCAATTGCATAGGCGGAATCTCTTCACCTGCAATACAAAAAGAAACATAATAATAAGAACCTGAAGAAAATTGTCTGCTAATACTTATCATAATAACAGGGGAATTGGAAACCTAGGCACAAATAGAAATCCAAATTTAAGAGATGCAAGAATATTCCATAGAAATGTAGACACCATATAATACCAGAACAGTATGGAACAGGTATGAAGTTGAAACTGTACATAGTCCAATAAACAATCTTTTCTGGGCAATTGTTAAAAAAATGAAAAAAAATAAAAAATAAAAACCTATATTATGGCTGTTGGAATGATCACTGAACCATTTAACTTATGTATGGCTATTAGAGATTCTTTTTTCTTTTTTTGAGAAGAAATGAAATTTATTACCAAAGATAAGAGAGAACAAGAAAGGAAAGGTGGCTAAGAAAGCCACAGGCTATTAGAGATTTTAATAAATTGAAGTTCTAAGAACATAGAAACAATGTTTGTGAACACTTGTGAGAGACAGAAGTTTGTAGGCTGAAGAGATATTTTCACCATGGTTCAACTTTATACATGATTACTATGTTCACGTCCTATGCATTCTCACTGAAATTTACTAGCTAATAGATTCTGAGTCCACCAAACACACCACTTGCCTGCCTGAGTACTTTCTCTTCATTGGTTTATCTGCCATCTATTTTCAATGACATTGCTAATGTGTATACAACTTGCTAGACAGAAGTATAACTGTTAAAAATTTGATTTCTACAACATGTTACTACTGTTATTTCTTTGTTTCATTACTAGAAAGCTATTGTTTGCAGCTTCTTTTTCGTGTTTGTGTGCAGACGGGTCATAGGTGTATGAGAGCAATAATAGACACTGTTTAACAATCAAAAAAGACAAGTTAAAATAGCAATCAGATGATTTGTTACGAATAATTTCCTTGCATTGAAATCTACCTAATGGAAGATTATGATAGAAAAGACGCATCTTCTCCAATGCCATTGACTTGACAATTAGCTCAAGGAAAAACCAAGCCATTGCCAAAACGTCATCATACACAGGTCCAACACGGTATCCTTTAGCCTGCACAATGAAATAATAAAGTTTAAAACAGTTGGCCAGTTAGAACAAAATAATGATGATAAGAATCATGAACCACATCTTGCAGTCACCATACAGAATCAAAGGATGCAAACATTACAAATCGACACAAGCACAGTTCATGAAAATCAGGATTCTCAACTAGATGGGTATGAAGTCTTCAAACAAAAGTACAATGGAAAGATGAGGGAGGGAGTTGATATGTAAGAGATGCGAAGAAGGAATGGGAGAGATATGACGGAGAATGCACATCTATCATCTCTCTTCTCAACATCCTCTCATTTTCCTTTATCTTTAATTAAAAATGAAAACCAAAACTTATAATACCAAACGTACCATAACTCACAGGAGAAAAACTTAATTTTGCTAAGTGGATTAGACATGAAGTGATCTTGGACGACCCTGGGCTATACATATAGTAATAGAATAGAAATAGAAAAATGAGCAATTATCTCCCCATTCTTGTACAATAGTAATAGAAAAATGAGCCATGGAAAACCATTAGACCAAAAAAAAGTAATAGAAAAATGAGCCATGGAAACCCATTAGATTAAAGATGATGCTACAATTGAAATATAGCCTCACAACCAAACTAGAAAGAGTAGCTTAGGACTCTGGCATGACAGAAACCAATCCAATTGGGTAACACAATAACATGGAGAAGTTATCAAACCCCAATTGGCAGGGAACAAGTCTTCTTTCAGTTGAGTATACCGTATGAGAGAAGGAAACAGCATATCTCATTTTGTCAGGACGAAGGAGAAAACTAATAGTGATGATCAAGAAAGCACATGATAATAGCAATTGGCATATAAAAATCTCCATCCCGACAGGCGTACCTTACTACGAGCCAAGCTTCCCCAAACAGTTGACAGGCCAGGATAAACTGGTGGTTGACGACCTCCAAAGTCATCAAACACATAATCAACATAGTTAACTAGGAAGTGATTTCTTTCAGCATCATCAACTGACTCCTGCTGTACCCTACAGATGACATTCCATACATGTCAAACCAGAAGCGTTTTAAACAAAAGCAAGAAGAGCAAAGGCTGGTGCAGAGTACAACTTTACAGCAAACTGCCAGTGATTACGAGTAGAGCAGAGGACCAATGTGTGTCATATTTAAGCATTTTGTATCGTGTTGTATGATATTACCCTAAACCCAAACCCATTCTCTAATTTAATGTATTTTGTCTTGTTTTATGCATAAAGAAAAACCATAAACCCACATCCACACTAAATAAACCATAGCCTAAAGGAATTTTCCAGAAGCAAAAACGTAAATAAATAAATCATCTTCCATAAAAGTTTAGCTTGCACCACCGTATTGCAAACTATATGCATGCCTAAAAAGTACAATTGCGTACTACTAAAATAGTTATGGAAGAAACACAAACTACAAGTTTTTTCTTTAAAAAACACTTCTGAAGCCATGATAAATTACAATTCTGAAGAATGTAAAATCATTAATCAAAACTAAACCACACACCGGGTCACGATATTAACCATGGCTCTGAATGCAGCAACCTGAAAAGCAGCAGTAAAATCAGAAACTAAGATGACATTACACAACCCAGAACCCAGTCAGTAGAAGGATGAATCTATATTGTTACCAAAGGGGTTATTGAAATACCAATTTAGGAAATAAAGACAACGAATGGAGCAAGAACAACGATTAACGTTAAAAATCAGTACTATAAATTTTAAAAGAACCTGGAGGGTTTCTCCGCCATTGCCTATTAGATGGAGAAGCATATTCAAAATTGGATGAAGAAACTGAAGCAAAGCAATGGAATCAACATTCTTCAAACTGTTAATAGCCTGCATGAAAAATTTTCACACTCGAATCACTTCTTGCTTGGCATAAGTTAAACACTACAATATCAATATGTAAGGAAAAGACAGAAAACAAAAACCCTCTATATTAATTACACTGCTTACAAGTTATTGCACGATCAACATCCCAGACACATATTAACCAATAATCCAAATAGCAACGTTATGTGTATATTGAGATTTAAAGTGAAAGATATGTACCCTAATATCACCTTATTCAAAACAAAAAAAACAAAAAAAATTCTAATAGCATATACATAAATGTATTTCACAACTTTTGTTATAAATAAGATAATGGAATTTTGTGCCACAATAATACAAGAAAACAGGACAAGTTGATGTAAAATAAAAAAGATTAAAAGGAAGAATACCTCCAGAAGTTCAGAACCCCAAGGTGCGCTTGTTCGAAGAGTGTGCCTATCGTATTCAAGGAAAAAATCTCTTATGCGCTCATTGATAGGATATAACGACGAACAAAGCCTTAAGCGCAATCGAAATATATTCTTTCCATCTTCCAAATAATCCAACCTCTCCTGGTTGTGGGAAAGGGGTGGAGATAAACAGGCAATGGAATCATCAGTTTAAGAAAACAAAAGCTTCCTACCAACTACAAGAGTAGAATGCTGCTCATGTATATGAGACTGCCAAAAATGGCTTATCAAAACAAAAGATGTAGTTTAACATGCACGATGATGGCATACATAAAATTAATGGAATAAGCACTCAAAATTAATGAAATCAATATGTACTTGTTGAGGGAAAAACTGAGATTCAATTGTTTTGTATAATACATCCCTGGTAACCATTAAAGTGAGGTTCAAACTAAAAAATGATACGAGGAGAATCAATTCAAATAAAATGGAAAAGGGAATGAAATCATAAAACACAAACAAATTATAAACTCAAAAAGCAACCCAAACATACTCTGCCCATATCCTGGAGATAATGTGGAACCAGCTCCCTCATAATTGGCAAAGAAATTTCAGAGCGCAACCTGAGAAGAAAAACAACCATTATTGCTTTGGGATACCATTGATAACATTAAAACTCTAAAAGCCATGGGAAGATCAAACAAGTAGCAAGTAATAAACTAAAGCACAATGTTTGAAGACCTTTCCAAAATTGGTTTAATTCGCATAATCGAGCCCAACAGAGTTAAATCACGATATTGTATTTTCATATTGAAAACAGTAACCAAACTGAGGCATGCATTAGATACAAGTTGTATTAACTCTCGAGCTATTTTAGCAATTTCATTGAATGAAGAAAGATTGGTTTCCAAAGGAATAACATACATTCATACATGATCAATATATTAAACAAGCAACCCAAAGCTTTTGAGTTTCATTCTGTTTTAAGATCAAAAGAGGAAGAAAGATCAGACTTGAAGGCATATACATACTGAGCATGTGTGGATAATGGAAGTGCCGCGTATCCAATTACTATCTGCAAAGTCAACGAATGTAATAGTCATTTTAAGTGAGTAGATATAATCAAAATGAAGCAGCAGGGTAAAACCAGCCAGAAAGAAACTAAACTACTGTTGGGGGTGGGGGAATGAAAATTCTTGGGAAAAATTAGCAAGTCCTTCAGAGAAACAAAAACTGAACTTACCGGCTTTGGAGCTTCTAATTTTGTTTGAAGATCAACATGAAAAAAAGTAAATAAAAGATGATGTGTTGGTGTCCAGGTGGCAGGGAGAGAGAGTTTTATTTCATCATGGTAGCAGGCCACCCTTGCCCCAACAGTCAATTGTGTGTGAGCCCACTTCTGAAGTGATGCACTTGGCTCCCGTGGATACATTGCCTAGTCAAATCAATTGCACCACAACCAAACAAGTAAGGAATGAATTCAGAAAAGTGAAATTCTTACATAATATAATAGGTATATTTACCTCTAAAGGCTGCCTACGAATATCATTATCATCCTCCCGAAGTTCAACTCTTATGAACAAATTCCTCTTCCGACTTAAACTAACAGTCATAGGATACACATACAGACAATGAAAAAGCTGCAAGAAAGGCTCATTTCTTGTTGTAGTACGGAAGTCGAAAGCTTGAAACTGGAAGTTAATCAAAACAGTCACTTTAGTATGTATCATGCATGAATACAAAACATTAAAAACATAATTAAAATTGGAAATACTATTTATTGCAATAAACATTCCTGATATATTGCATGCATATCAGAAGGATAGAAATGAATGAAAGATAGAACCAGCAATCCAGTTAGTGGTGCCATATACAATATTATACATTACATATATAATTAAGATGTATGATAGTGAACAAAACAGTTTTTACAAATGAAATGGAACAATACAAATCAAGTGAACCAGAGGTCACTGAGGTTCGCTTTAATATTATAGCTGCCGTTAATCAGACAAACAACCATAGAATGAAACTATCAAACACAACTAAACACCCCAGACCCTAACAAATTCCACACACAAACAGAAACCTAAAAAAAACCTAAGAAACAGTTGCCTAAGAGCAGACATTCAGAAAGAAGGACCCACTGCAGGGATATCATTTTCTCAAAGCATATACGCAGAAACAATGACCCACAGTAAGACTTGAATTTGAAGACAAAAAGCAGTACGATGCTATGATACTTACATCATCAGAACTGGGAACTGAATTTCCATGAGTATTTGATCCATTTCCAGATATTTCTTTGGCATCGAAAGAATTCCACTTAGAGCTGCTACCCTGAGGACCATCCAAACCATTACTTGGGAGCTTCCCAAATGTGGAATCAGTAATGCGATCATCAATAGAATCATTGGTCATACTACCACTTTCTGATATATTTTCCATGTCAACATGGTCATTCTGGTGCTTCTCGATTTCAAGTCTCAAAACACCTTTCACAGGTTTGTGGATCTTGCGTTTGGGATCCTAAAATTTTCAGGTCAACCACCCAAAAGAACACACACTGTCATAATCTGAAAATCTATAGCACTCTAAGTTTAGACATACTGAGCAAGTATTCAGAAACAATCTGTATCTCCTACATAATTTCTGGGGAAAACAAAATATAGACAAAACAATTCAAGCCAACAAAATGAACACACACAAGCACCATGAATAAAGATTATGGAGGTGTTAAATATTCATTCAAGAGGATTTGTGCATACCTGAAGTGAGTCCTCAGTATAGCATTCTTTGACTTTATTTAAATTTGATATTTCAACAACAACAGAGCTTCGACTTGAATAACCTAGCTTCCCATCTAATGTAACCTTTGCACTAGGCTCAAACACACCCTCATGAGAACTTGAACCAGATATACTAGCAGCAAGAGGACTGCTTGGTGAAGCAGACCCACCAGAAGCTGCACCAATGCTGTTATCAAATAATGAAACAACAGCCCAGGCGAAGGACTCTCTGTAAGGCATTATTTGAGACCACACCTGCAGTTTTTGCTTTTCTTTCTCGGTCAAGTGTACCTGTTCAGGTAGAGTGAAACCAGACTTCATAAAAAGCAGATATAAACTAACAGTTTGGAAAGTTGCATAATCTTACTATGTAATCATGTGCACAAACAAGGACACAAATGCTCACATGCACAAACCATCCTAGCCTACCCAAAAAGAATAAAATTGTGAGCCAGCCTCTATTTCTCAAGAACAAGGGAGTAGGGTAGAATGTCATCTCTTTCACCACACAATGCAAGTCGAGGTTGATACAAACTTCTTAAAAAACTCTTTTACCTTTTTTATTTATTTAAAGAAAGCTCTTTTACCATTTAAGAGAGCATGCCCTCCAGTACATTGTTTGCAATCATGTATCCTATCTATTCCAAGATATCTATTCTCCCTTCCTATTCCCTTCACAATGACGTCAAGATAATTCAAATTACTCATGCATGTATTAATTTCATGTCATTCCAACAGTAAAACCATAAAAAACAATCTTTCTTTATCGTGTCATCAAATTCTTCTAACTTTATAGAACAATTACAATCTATCTCTCATTCCATAAATTACTGTTTTGTCATTTTGAAAGTTCATGTGCGCAAAGCACAAATTAAAGGATGCATCTTAGCAAGTCAAATGGATATAGGTGAAAATATTAGAAATACAATAGGAAAGGTGAAATCATTAAGAATGTGTACTACATTACACTAAGTCATTTTTTCAATATATTGCTATTTAAAAATAATTTCAATTCTAAATCTAAAAAAATAATAAGAATTGACAGTTATGCAATTTTATGTTTTTTTTTTCTTCTTATGTTTATTAACTTAATATATATAGTGTACAAACTGACAATGGAGCATTAAGTAGAGGAGGTAGTATCAGGAAAAACTATGGATGCTTTATCTGGTTGTTGTATTTGGAAAAGAAATCAACATTTTAAAGCAACTTAGGATTTCATATGATCTTCAATTGAAAGACAACTCCAATTTTGGCATAACAGATTTCAAATCATAATCACAAGTTGAAAGCAATGAATAAATAATAAAAAAGTAACATATATACTTGGACATACTGGTTCTTTACGAGAATAAACTGAAGGTGTAACCCCGCCTTCTTCTGTGGCATGCTTCTCTAACTGGATTAGCAGACAAACAGAAGATGATGGAGCATCCAAATAGAAGATTCCACGAGGTTCAAAAGAAATCTTCACCAAAAAAGATGACAGGGGCAACAAAAAAGTTTTTAGTCATAACATATGCCGAAGTAAAGGACACACATTAAAATTGGAGGGGGAAAAAGTTATATTGATCTTATATCTTACATCCTTCTTTTCGGTTGGTGCATGACGAAAATAGAAGTCCTCTGACAGTTTTTCTCTTCTCTCCCTATTGTATAAGCAAATTGTTCCATAAAATGGTTCTACATGAGAGGGAGGAGAGGACATGGAGAGAGCACAAAGTCAGAAGTCTTGAAACAGCTCCAAGTTACAAAAGCAGTAGTACAAAGAAGTGAGCACCAATAATATATCATACGTACAAGGAGCATAACACTCACCTGCTAATCCCGCTTGAAAAGATAGGGACAGAACTTTCACTGAGATCTTCAATCCACTGAGACAGTCCAAATGAATAGAGAAAAAGACAATTAATAAACACCGGGAACAGCCCAAAGAGGCAAAGATGAAATTCTACTCAACAACAAGATTTTAGAACTGCCATACTGAGATATTGGTGTTTCAGGAACCCTTTGGCCAAATATCATTGACCTTTCATTTTCCCAATCAAAAGCTGGTTCGTAGGCAGGGAGGGGAGATTGACCAAAATGCTGCATATATAGTATCAACAGGAGCAGATGGGTCATTTGAACTACTGTAGTATGTTTTAGAGATTAAAAAAGAAAGGTACTAAATAAAAGTAACTTATGCTGCATGTATAAAAACTATCCTCAAGCCAATAAAACCTTTGGATCATTGGAGTGCACTGAATCGGATACAGTAGCGTCCATAAATTGTCGTCCCGAGGTACTTGGGACATCATCATCAGTAGTATCATCCACCTTGGTTCGCCTTGCACTTGAAAGGTGCATTTCTGCAAATAGGATCAAGATATTTCAAGAACTCTACGAAGAAGTCGATGGCAAAACCCAGTCCTGCAGTGTCACTCAATCTTACTGCAATCCGACTTGTTATCACAAAATTAACTTGTACATCACAAAAACTTAGCATCTAACAGGTGCCTATTGAAATAAACAATTTTAGTACTTGGATTACACCAGTCTTCCACTTTAACCAGCACTAGACTGACACCTATTAGAGGCGGGCCAAATTCACAACAGCATGCATTCCCCATATCTATAACTACCTTCAAAATTTTCACAAACTATATATGTTATGCCAAAAAACCAAGTTACAAGCATTCCATTGTTTTCTCTTTATATTGCCTTTAAAAACCAGGTGTAGAAAATAACAAATACAGAACAAAAAATCAAATCTTTATCATTAATTAAAAACTCTAAGAAAATAGGTATCGACCAGATATTGGTAATGCACACGTTTACACTAATTGTGTAAGGGTTTCATACGTGTAACATAAAAGCGGCTGTGGTGTCCAATTATGAATGTTTCCAGAGATTAATCTAAAAACTTAAAACCCTTCTGATGTAAAGACCCAAATGCACCCCCATTTGTGAACGCTCGTGTAAGCAAAAGGCTCCAAGAATGAAAGAAGGGGTTACATACCAGTCTCAATATCAGTGTCAGGACCCTCATAAATCTGGTTCTGAAATGAAGGCGGTCCAACACTCTCGTAGTGACCATACTTGTTCTCATCCTTCACCCAGTCTGTTGTGTAGCACTGTACCAGCTCCTTCAGATGTGGCCATTGCTCCAAATTCTCCTCAAACTACAAAAACCCAATTGACCAAATAATCAAATAAGTACCCACTTTTAATTATTAAGCTCAATCCATTTAAAAGCTTGAAACCAACCCAAAAATTTCAAAGACAGAGAAATGTACACGCACATTACCTTGCTTTGCCAGTTAAGTAAATACTCAAAATTATATACAATTTATTGCATTTCTAAAGTAGAATTCTTGGACCCTTTCAGCCCAAAAAGAAAGGGAAGAAAAAACAAAGCCAGAGACTAAGACACATTACCTTGTTTTGCCATTTGGTCGTGTACGGAGTGGAATCGCGGCGAGGCCGCAGGTTGAGCATGGCGGATCTATGGGTCAAAAGTTTTGGACTACAAGAAAGAAGAGGACGAAGAAGGACGGGAAACAGAGATAACAAAACTGGGTTTCTTTCAAATTTGTGATTTTCTTTTTGGCTTTTAAATGGCAGACACAGACAGCAGTAGTGGGAAAAGATGAAATGTAGTGCTGTATTTGGTAGATCTTAACTGCAACCAAAAGCTAAAGCAAAGAAACTTAAAGAAATGCCTGAAATGAGTAAAATTTGAAAGAAATAAAGAAAGACTGAGAGCGAGAGAGAGAGAGAGAGAGAGAGAGAGAGAGAGAGAGCAAAGGCCAGAGCTTGAACACTGTACGCTCGCACTCAAGTCAAGAACAGTCCACCAGAGAAAAATGCCAAGCGGGTCTTGGCTGTTTTATCGCACCCCAATGCTTCGGGTCTGGCCCGTGGGATAGTTTATTACTTTAGTTTTATTATTTTAAATGAAATTATTGGTTGTTTTTATTAAATAAATAAATGTTGAATACATTATGATGTTAAACTTTTACAGCTAACACAATGTTATATCATCATTTTATGATTAAAAATTAAAAAAACACTTGTTGAGTCCAGCATTATGGATATATAAATATGGGAAATTCTTTCTGATGTTATGTAATAACATTTCATACAATTAATTAGGTTTTGTTTAAATGCGTTGCCTATGTTGACAGTCTGACAATGTAATATATTTAGTTGTTTTGACCATATATTTATAAAATATGAGCACGTGAAATAAAGATAAATTTGAAGTTCTAAAGTGAATAGTTACTTCACAATATAGAAAAGTTTAGGATGATGAGAGGCTATCTCATTCTAAGGTCATGGCATATTAAGGCCTCTTTAAGGACTCTCTATTAAGTATTTTATGTTCAAATTAGTTAAGAATTTCTAATCTTGGGCGTTGGATTGCATGTGTGTTGCATATTAGACCCGCCAATATATCTAATAAATCGCTGAGATTAGAAAGCCTTAACCAATTCTTAACTTAGAATCTTTAGTGTAAAAGCTCCCTTGAAGTAGGTAGGGTAAAAGTAGAATAATGTGTAATTAGCAATTTATCATAGTAAGTTTAAATTTACCTCTTATCAATAATTTAGTATGGTATGTACTAAACCAATGATTAGGTAACTTCTGTTTGAATTTATTGTTCATACTAACAGTTTAGCAATGTGGGTAGGTCATATGTCTCATGGTTAACAACAAAACATGGGATAAAAGCAAATGGGGTTGAGGTATTAAAGTGGGTAGGTCATATGTAGCATAATATGTAATTATTGCAACAAGTTAGTGTTTTTTAAATACGAAAAATATTAGAGGAGAGGAAACTGAACTCACGACTTCATGATTAGGAAAGCACTCTCGAGTATTTGAATTATAAACTCCGTATGAGCTGGGTGTTTTTCAGATCAGTGACGATATGAGCCTTGAATGTAGGAAAACTTTCACTGTTGAGAAGAAAGATACTATTACACAAGCAGTTAGTTACTATATTGTACACATTATCTTCAGGGAGAATTATCTCGATGTCTCAACTTATTCTCTCAACGTCAAGATATAACACAAGCACAACAGACTAGCATTTCCTGCTATTGTTTCGCTTCTAAGAAAAGCAATTGGTATTTTGCTTTCTCCACTTGTCTTTTTTTATGCATACTTTTCCAGCTTCCGACCAAATAAAACTTCACACAGAAGTTACAGCTACTATGTATGTAGATCTAGGATTCTAGTGCAACCTTTTCCTGCATCCTATGCAGTTGGTGCCGTTTTTGGACCCTTTTGTAAATGCTCATGGCTTTTACTGTTAAGCTTTTTATACTAATTGATGAAAAGGTTCTTGCACCAACAACACAAGTGGAATAGTTTCCAAAAAGAAAACAGGGACAATGTCACATTATCAATTTACTTTCAAAAAGACTAATAATTAGAGTTAAGTCACTCTTAGGGCAGTTTTCATTACCCTTTAAATGATTCACCAGATTCACCAGACACTAGGGATGGACCAGGATTTTAAAATTGGGTGCGCTAAATTTACCTTATGTATGCATCGGATAGTGGAACATAAAGGTGCAAGTACTACAGCTTACCAATTCGTTCTTTTATTTATTTATTTCACTTAAAGGGATTATGTATGAAGAGAGTTATCAGTGAGAGGAATATTAGCAGTAGGTTGTTCATAAAATAAATATAAATAAAATAAGTTGGCAATAGGCTAAAAAAGTAAGAACAAGACAGAAATACTTTTCATTTTAGAGATAACTTTATAGAGATGTCCTACATAAGAATGTTAAAAAATTGTCATTAATAAGCTTAGGGGATAAATTAAATTTTTAACTAACAAAATAGGATTATTCATAGCAATGATCCCTCAATTATACTTGAAGTTACATTTTGGTCACTCAACTCAAATATTAGTTGCAAAAGTCACTCAATTGGGTGTTGTGTTGCACCATTTTGCACCATTAGTCTCTACCGTCAAGTTTGTGACTTATTCTGTTTAAAATGATGACGTGACAAGCATCTCTTAGATTATTTATGGGCAAATGTGACTTTTCAGTTATGATTATTTGCAGCAATGATCCCTCAACTATACTTGGAGTTACATTTTGGTTGCTCAACTCCAAAAAATAGTTATAGATGTCACTCAATTGAGTGTTGTGTTGCACGGTAGGGATTAATGGTGCAACATAACACCCAACAATACCTAATTGAGTGACTTCTGCAACTAATATTTGAGTTGAATGACAAAAATGTAATATCGAGTATAATTAAGGAATCATTGCTACAAATAACCCAAAAAAATAATAACTAGTCCCTTATAGGGACTGTCCCTGCCAGACACCATAAAACAAAAGTGCTTTTATTAATTTTTCTTTTGCTAAAAAAGAAAAAGTGAAAGCATTCCTCGAACTTTTACCCTACATACGAAGATAAACTGCTCTACCATTGAAGCTATAAATTTATCATAATGCATAAGTTGATTTCTGATGTAACTTATCTGGTCTGGCTATCTTTATTGGTAATATAATTAGTGTGCATTTTTCCCAATTGGTTTAAGGCTTTTTTGGTTTTTCCAGTTTTTGGATGAGAATTTAGGGTTTTTTTTTTGTGTGCGACAGTTTAAAAAAATGTTTCAGAACAGCATAACGGATAAACCCCAAAACCTCTAAAACCTGAGCAGTCCTAAAACACCACCACTGCTCTGTTCAACTACTGAAAACTGACAACAGATGAGAGGGCGCACAAATTAAGTGTTTTTCTATGAAATCTTCGTAATTCTCAATTCTACACCCAAAAATGGACCTTAAAATCACATACAAATCAAACCCACTTCTCTTTTCTTCAACCCAACTCACCCAGCCATCTGCAAGACCCGTCCTTTTCAACCTACCCACAAAGCACAGACCCAAAATTTCCCGGAAAAAACCCACTTTTCGTGTTATGGGGTCTGCAAATTCAAATGGGTCTGATGGGTTTTCTTGGGTGAGTCTGACTCAGTCAATTCGGCGCGGTTCGGAGCGATTCTGGTCGAATTTTGGTGAGTCGGTGAAGAAGGAAACTGGGTTTGATTTGAAGGATGCTAATGTGAAGGTGGGTGAGTATGTGGGGCGAGTTGAGGGTGGATTAAAGAAGGGTAGGACTGAGTTGGAACGGTTTAAGACTGAGTTGGTGCCAGAGTTCGTCAGTTGGAATCGGTGGGAACGTTGGAAGGTAAGTTGTATTTAATTTTAATTTCTGTTTGGTTGCAAAGAAAGTGTAAGAAGATACTGAAGCTACAAGGTTCAGTTTTTTGTTTTGATTAAGTTGAGGCGAGCACTAAATGTAGCTTCGGATTAGTGGAAATGGTAACCTTTTGTATTAATACTTGCAATTGTTTAAGCACATGAACAATCAAATTCATAAGGAATGGAGGTCGGCCCTTTTGAAATAGTTTTGTGCTGTGCGAATTTTACAATAGATATGCCAACTACACCCTTTTTTTGTCTTTTCACATTGGTCATTTTCATTTGTTTTCTCAGGATATTAAGACATGGGAATCCAAAAGAATTGCTGCATTGATTTTCTATATTTTTCTTGCCGTAGTTTCTTGTCAAAGAATATATATAGCAATTCGAGCTCCTCTCCAAGATCGTCAAAGAAAAGAGTTGACAGAGGCTTATATGGAGGCAGTTGTTCCCGAGCCATCTCCAAGTAATGTTAGAAGGTAAGTTGATTTTGTGTGTATCTGTCCTTTAGGTCATGTTGACTAAACACATTTATGATTTGAAGTTTAGATATTTCCTTGACATAGATAAGGTTTTAAACAAGACGCTTAAGTAGTTCCTTTCTGCTTTCACTAATCCAGGCCCTCTGGTTGTCTTACATTATAGGTTTAAGAAGAGTATATGGAGGAAGACTACACCAAAAGGCCTGAAAATGAAGAAGTTTGTTGAAAGACCTGATGGAACACTTGTTCATGATAGTTCTTATGTGGGAGAGGATGCATGGGATGATGACCCACAGCCGCCTCAGGACAATGTAGAACAAATTATTGACAGTGATGTAAAATTAAATCAAGAGGAAAAAAAGGAACTGAAAGAAGACTTGGGGATTTCTGGTTAGTGTCCGTTTGCCACTTGCATAAGTGTTTTGAGTTGGTCTTCATTACAAGTCCAGCATGGCAAAATTGGTAAAAGGAAATTTTTCTCTGTCTATGAAGATTTTTGATGTTGAAAAAGATACAATTATATTTTCTTTGCCAATGAGGATTTCATAGCATATTATGAATTGTGATTTGTGAACATATTATATCCTATTACATGTGTATGTGGCAAGTGTGTGATAGCTAAACTAGATACGGTGGACAACTTGTCCACAATGATTGTAATCATTGTGCTGTACTGTAGATTTTACATTGTAAGCAGTGGACAACTTATCCACAATGATTGACATTGTTTTGATTCCAACAAAATTTTCTTTTCTTGTAATAAAATGTACAGCCTTTTCTAGAAAGTTATTACCTTAATAGAAAGAAAATTTTGTCAGATATCTAATTTTTCAACTCTGCTTAGAAATGTTGGCTGTCTAAGTGCCTATGTAGGTTATTTGGTCTGAAACCCCTCTATACATGAACAACTCTGAATCTCAAGGAATGGTCGCAGAGAATTGTGTGATTTGATATCTGTGTATGTTTACTGTAAATCTGCATTCTAGAGATTACAAAAACTTCGACTGATTTATGGTTCTTGTTAGATATCGTGTAAAGTTTGACTTGAGAATTTGTCTTCAGATCTATCTATGAATACTGTTTTTGGTATTATCTACCCTTTGGAACCTTCTGGCCAATTCATTTGATGTTTGCTTTGCAGGTGAAGTTCAAGAAAATAGAGGAACATGGCGTGAAAGACTTAAGATATGGAATGAGATACTTCAAAAAGAAAAGTTAGCTGAGCAGTTGGACTCTGCAAATTCTAAGTATGTAGTTGAATTCGACATGAAAGAGGTAGAAAACAGTCTTCGCAAGGATGTCATGGAAAAGGTAACAGAGACACAGGGAACACGGGCTCTATGGATAGCTAAAAGATGGTGGATGTATCGTCCTAGACTTCCTTATACCTACTTTCTTCAAAAGCTTGATTGCTCTGAGGTAACAAGTTTCTCTCCTTTGTTTTATTTATTTTTTGTTTTTCTCCTTGTGTATAGATTCACTGGTTCCTTTTTGTTTGGTTTAGCATTAAGTATGCATTCTCTTTATGCATCTATTGGTTTTCATGGAAGAGTTTATATTATTTAGGTTTCTCTAGTATCTAAATGGGTTAGTTCAATGACAAAGTAAACTTGTTCACTTATCCAAAGAAAAAATAAGATGTTATATTGAACAAGTTCCCAACTCTGCATTCACATGTCCAATCTAAACATTATGCATCTAGAGGATTTTTTTGCCAACATTGTTAGCAAGGGTTGGGTAGGTAGTTTCTGATTCTTTAATTTATTTTGGACAGGTTGCTGCTGTTGTATTCACGGAGGACCTAAAAAGAATATATGTTACTATGAAAGAGGGTTTTCCATTAGAATATGTCGTAAGTTTACCAATTTTTTTTAACAATCACCCTGATCTTATCTCTTGACTTATTAATGCTTAGTGTTTTTCCTTATATGGTAGGTAGATATCCCCCTAGACCCTTACTTGTTTGAGATTATCTCAAGTTCTGGAGCTGAAGTTGATCTTCTTCAAAAGCGCCAGATCCACTACTTTATGAAAGTTCTGATTGCATTGGTGCCTGGGATACTTATTCTCTGGCTAATACGCGAGTCTGTGATGCTTCTGCACATCACTTCTAAGCGTTTCCTTTACAAAAAGTATAACCAGCTTTTTGATATGGCTTATGCAGAAAATTTTATCCTGGTAAATTTTTAATTTCCAGATGTTTTGTCCCTATTTATCTTCCTACTGTGTAGATTATTGAGTTCTTATTGCACTTTACACTCCTTCAGCCAGTCGGAGATGTTGGGGAAACAAAATCAATGTCCAAGGAAGTTGTGTTGGGGGGTGATGTTTGGGATCTTCTTGATGAGCTCATGATTTATATGGGAAATCCAATGCAATACTATGAAAGAGATGTCAAGTTTGTCCGGGTAAGTTTTTCTGTAATCATGAAAGATAAAGGCAACTCTACTGGAGTTTTGCCTTAAATATTGCAAATGTTATAAGAGAAAAGCTGTTTGATGATTATTCATAACAGGGTGTTCTTCTCTCTGGACCTCCTGGAACTGGCAAAACACTTTTTGCAAGGACGCTTGCCAAGGAAAGCGGATTACCCTTTGTTTTTGCTTCAGGTGCTGAGTTCACAGATAGTGAGAAAAGTGGTGCTGCAAGAATCAATGAAATGTTTTCCATTGCAAGGAGAAATGTAAGCATTCTTCTATGAATAATGCTACTCTTACCACATTTGTATACCACATCCCTATACCATCTTATGTGGCAGCTGAGGTGGACAACCACATCAATTAAAATGATTTAATATTTTCTTTTCTTTTATGATTTATTCCAGTATTTGTTTTTCTAATTGTCTTAATTAAAATACACTTCATTGATTTAATTGATGTGACATATAATATGGACATGCCACATCATGTGGTATAGAAATGTGGGATAAAAATGTGGTAAGTGTAGCATTACTCTTCTTCTCTTTCTAATTTTCAAATGCAATACTGCAGATTAGTAAAATGCGATTTCTTTTAGGAGAATCCACAAAAGATTGATGTTTGTCATAAATCTGTAAGTCATAATGCTATGGAGCTATTGTGCTTACACAGATGATGAAATAAATAATTTAGTCTGTCCTAATAGTATGATTTAGGATACTGGTTTCTTTGTGATAAATGAGTTAACTCCTAAAATTTGAGCGCTTAGCTCATACTCATTTTATCATCTTTGTTCCAAATGGGTCTGTATTGGTCTGATGACTCTTTATGAAAACTTTTGCGTTGAAAAAAGATCTTAAAATTTAAGCTTGTTATGTCCTATATGTGCTCAGCAGTTGATAAGATTAGTGCTCTTTCACCTACCACTTTAATTCACTGTTTCTTTCTTTCCTAGTTTGGTTGTCTAACATTTGATGTTCAGTATATTAAAAATGTCACGGTGTAAAAAAATCATAGAAGTTTTTATCTCACCATATCTGGTTGACCTTATTGTACTTTTTTAATTTCTAAGCTTTGTTTATTTCTGTCATGGAATGTACTAAAACAGATTTTTACATAACCTCAGGAGCTTTAAGGCCAGCCCACAAACAAAACTTTTTAGAACAGCCGTCGTGGAGTTTTTTCAATCTGGATATTTTATTTTTATTTTTCACTAATCAATCACACTAAGACAAAACATTAAATTCACTACCCTGTGCTCAGGCTCCTTCTTTTGTATTTGTGGATGAAATTGATGCTATTGCTGGAAGGCATGCAAGATTGGATCCTCGAAGAAGTGCAACATTTGAGGCTTTGATCGCACAGCTCGATGGAGAGTACGTGTATCACTTGAACACATTTATTTTTGCTTTTATCTAAGCAGTACTAATTAAATTCAACTTATATTATAAATATAGATATATATTTCATGTGCCAACCTACTTTCAGTTAAAAATGGACATAGTGGTTTGATTATTTTCTGTAGTCTACTTCATCATGTTATTTTGGACTATAAC